TTTTCTGACCATATCGTCCACTTGGATGGATCACGGAAGCACTCCATCGTGTATTTTTTCAGAAATTGAGCCGGCCTTGTCCATAGTCACAGATCAAGCAGTACGGATCGACCGCTCACATTTCATGTTTCTCCGAACTCTAGTTGAGTACTGGTTGTAATTCCTGATTTACTATTGTTGACGCCGCAGCGGCAAGCAAGCTAACCCAGGGCCGAAGATGACACTCACTGGGTAATTTCTTTTGCGGTCTTGTGCAAATTCAAACAACGAGAGCCACATTTCCCATCTTGTTCTGGGTAGCTTAAGGACTCATTTGACCTACTTTATTTTCTGTTCACTATACACGCGGAATTCACAAACCGGAAGAATCACCCTTCAGATCTTCAATACACGGAAGTTGTCACCCAACTCCACCTCTTTGCACACCCTGACCATCGTGAAGGGCGTTATCACCAACGCAAGTGCGCGAATTCAAACAGACCAGAGCCACGCTGTACTTTTGTCCTGGGTAGCCTCTACCCGAAGTGTGCATTCGATTTGCTGTTCACTCTATACGCGTGTAAATCGACAGAATATCTTTATAAAAATCACGAGCTGGGATTTTCTAGACAGATAAAGCTTGTATTCAACCCCCTCGTCATCAACGTAGGGTTCATTGTAAATCTCCGCCACGGTTTCGCATTAATTTCTTGTCGGCGCGTGTCGTGTTTGGTTGGATCACATGAGCGCGTAGGCGTGACTCGCACAAGCTCTCGCACAGCTTCTCAGCCGCTTATACATTGACCTTTGCCAGGTCCCTGCGCAGCTGTGGCCATGGACAGACGTCCTGACCGCCCACTCATCGTCAAGTGCACATTCGATAGATGGAATAAGAGGATAACATTCACCTCGGCCCGGAACTGCAGCTATGATCTCCTCCGCCACAAGGTGCGTCTCATTACCGCAATCGCGGCTTCAATCTTCTTAGTATCTGTTATCACTAGGTTGAACAAGCCTTCGCCCTTTACGCTACATCCTATGCGATAGCCTACAAAGATGATGACGGCGAAGTCACCGACATTACCACCGACTCTGACCTCACAGAAGCCATACAATATTTTCAGGCCGGAGGCGATGATCCACCAGTGTCGTCGGCGGCATCTATCCTCTCGGGTCGCAGCCTCGGCAGCCGTAAAATCACTCTGCGTGTAAATGTCACGGTGGACTATGACGGGCCTAGTCTATCGGACACCTCGTCGCTAGCTAGTCTGGAGGAATACAAGAATCGCAATGGCAGCCAGGAGTCCTTCTCGTTTGGTGCCCCCACCGTCGACCTAGACGACGACTCAATCACCGTCAGTTCCAGAGATGCGATATCCCGTGCAGAACGGCCTATCCGCGACGGGGATTCCCAGGCATCGGCGCAATCGTGGGACCTGCTCTCGCAGCCCTCGCAGCCCTCGAATGGCCAGACGGGTCCTAGCACCACCCTGCGTTTTCAGTCCGGTGTCAGCGATCCCTTCTCCGACGAGGCGGGAAAGACCGTCGCCGACCTTGATGAAGACCCGGCCGCTGTTTTCGAGCGTTTGAAGCTCGAGGAGTCGATACGGGACGATTCGTCCAGCGTGCAACATGACAATCTGCGCGAGAATGATCGGGGTGCAGCCTGGCTGCGTGATCAAAACGCAAGGACTATCCGATCTATGCTGGGAGCGCTGCCAGAGCCATCGGTCTCCTCTGGCTCCTCTGCCGTCACTTCAATACCCGAGGAAGATGAGGGGGAGGAACCGCTCGGTGGCGCTTTGGCATTGGAGCAAGGTCCACGAGGAAAATACTACTATACGTATACATCCTCTTCTGCATCGCACCGCGACTCGGGGTATTACGACGATGGAGCAAATGGGGAGCCGCAGGACGAGTTTCAGCACCAACCGAAACCGCGGCCCTCCTCCAGGCACCTCAACTGGCTTGCTGCCCAACAAGCCGTCTCATCCCCACCCAGTCAGAAACCGCCACCCTCGACGGATCCCTCTCAGCACGATCATGGCCATTCCCCAGACCATTCGTACAGCTCTAACCCGTCGATTCCGCGAGAACTTCTCCAGTTCCTCCCCCTCGCTCCTCCAGCCACCGAGACCCTGACCGACTGCTCTGAATGCGGCGTCCTCCTCGACTCCATCCGCTATGTGTGCTCCATCTGCGGAGAGAAAAAGCCCGCTAGCCAATCCAACAAAGGAAAGGGGAGGAGTTTGCACGTCCACCATGAGCACGGAAGCCAAGGTTTCCTCCATTACCAACCTAGCAACTTTCAAGATCACCGCGGCCATCAGCATCCCGGACACTTCCAAAATCACCACGAACACGATTACTCTTACCCCCCACGGCCCCTTTACTATGACACCTCCGCATCGTCCTCGCGCACCTTTTTGGGCGGGGGCAGCACCGAGTCCCTCACAAGCTCCATGCGACACTTCAAGCCGCTCCCGCGGGTGCCTCCGCATCATCCGGGACCCGCCCTTAGCACGTATAGCTCCCAGGCGACCCTCATCGTCCCCCCGGGACACGCGCGCGACGATCCTGGGTACGAGCTGTGCTCCGGATGCCTGGAGCACGCGGGCGTCACGCACGCGATCGAGGCAGGGCTCCCGCCAGGATCGTCTTCGCCGAGTGTGAGCCCCTCCTCGCCCGAGGATGCGCAACGCGCGCTGGAGTGGCGACGACTCGCGCCGAAGAAGGGCCAAACACGTCATGCGTACCATGAGAAGGTGTGGGGGCATCTCGGGTGGGAGGACGTCGGTGCGTATTCTTCTTGCTCTTGGCCGTCTTGGCTGACTCTTGGGTGCTACCAGAACAAGACGAGAACCAAATCCATGAGTGCTCGACGTGCACGGCGATCACGACGCATCATCGCTATAAGTGTGCGTCGTGCAAGAAGTTCAATCTCTGTCGGGCGTGTTACAGGTACGTGGGGTACTGCCTCCGTATCCTAAGCTGGTATTGATGGAGAGGCAGCCAAGTACACGATCTTCATCCATCGCACGCGTTCCTCGTTGTACCAGACATGCCGGTCCAGTCGAATGGCGACTCGGACGTGTTTGAGACCGTCCCCCCCGATCTAGGACCCGAGGGCGAGAAATGTGTGTCGCATGATCTACTCTCCTTATCCCTCATCATACACCTAACGGACCGCACTCAGCATTAACACATCCCGGGGTCCGATGCGCGCAGTAAGTAGCATCTCGTCTTAGGGTCCGTCATGCATCGATCTAACCTTCGTAGCTGCATGCTCGAGATCGTCGGCGCACGCTTCCATTGTGCCATCTGCGACGCCGTCGACATATGCGCCAACTGTGAGTCAGCGGGTCTCCCAGGCAATCTGGATTCTGCCGACGGCGGCCACAACTCGTCCCACATCCTGATCAAGGTTCGTCTCACTCCCTCCATCTCCTGTCTCAAAGAAGCTGAAAACGCTTTTAGATACCTTATCCGCTCGAGACAGACGAAGTGACCTGACCTCTCCGACTCCCTTATGGTCCTTACTGATGCGGAATTAGGTGCAAACAGCCAGTCGAAGAGCCATCCACTTATGGCAGGGCCGAGATGCTGCCAGCGTCGGTCACCAGCCGCCGAAGATATCCAAAGCGAGCTCCGTCGTCTCTTCGTATGCGCGGACCGTTGTCGGATCCGGGACGCGGGTCCCAGCGGAGGAGGACCACCATATATTCTGTCATGGATGCGGCGGCGTCAGTGATCTCGCACAACCTACACTCATGAAACTTACTTGCGCCTGCAGAATATCGTCGGAGTTCGGTACCAGTGCGCGAACTGCCCATCCTCCCCGCAGGGCTTCAGCTTGGTGACTCCGCTTCCTTGATCTCGCCCGTTCTTCGCTGAAACCTCCCCAGTGCGCGGACTGCGAGGAGCACTCGTACTCGGTGCACGACCCGTCGCACATATTCTTCAAGTTCCCGCGCCCGGTCCAGCGCCCGCTCGTGTCACCCTTTGCTTTCCTTCCAAGACTGTCAGCCCCTCTCCTTTCTATCCAATACCGCCCATGCTGACGACCTTGTTTGTCCGTAGATACAAGACTCCGCCGGGGCCGCCACCTGGGATGGATCCGCGTACTTACCTGACGTCTTTAGAGCACCCTTCCGCGCTGTGCGACCGCTGTATGCACGGGATCCAAGGCGTGTGGTTCCGCTGCGCCTACTGCGGCGTGGACTTTTGCGACGCGTGTGAGGCGGTCGACACGCACAACGACTCGCACATCTTCATGGTCTTCAAATCTCCCGTGAGCTTCACGTACTCTTTCTGACTATGATGCATGTTGCTCATTTTTGCGTAGGTCGACATGCAAGCTTTGAAGTGCGTTTTCCTGTTAATTGCGCTCTTTGTCCGCTGTGTTGATGTAATGTATTCAGGTCCTTTGCCCCGATCGAGAATCCGCCGCCTGTAATCCCGTATCCTGTTTACCGCTAAACATGTATATCTTGTCTTTGTAGCTTTCACATAATATCTATTCGTCGGAAGTGCGGAGATACTTCTGATTGTCAAGTCCTGACCAGCGCCTTATAAACTGTAAGCAGCTACCGAATGCATGATTAAACTCTGTGTCGATGCATCAATGGACTAAGGAGTGGTCGATAAGTATGCGGTTCTGAGCTCATCAAATATGGGCGGCCGATCCGACTGTGGATGAGGGCGGCTCAATTTGGAGGAAATGGAGAGGTTCTGTAAACGATTTCCAGTGGGCGACATGGTCAAACAAAGGCCCAACTGAGGACAACTGAGGACGTACCCAGAGGCGCCTGCCGAAATACACGACGGAAACTCGGAGCTTCCGCGGACCATCCCAGTGGATGCCGTGGGCGGAAACAAGCCGCAGGGAAAGGGTCGATTACACTGTAGAAAAGCAAAAAAGAAACGGCCCGCAGGCGTTGTGTGTGGAGCTCAGCATCGCGGAAGGGACAGCACCTGAGTCCTCGCGAGCGCAGGGCACAGCCCCGGGCTCGGCCCTATGTTGCCACTCCCGGGAATCGAACCCAGGGTCTCCCGCGGTGGTCAAACCGTGCTTCGGGCAGCTCTAAACCACTGAACTAAGTGGACAACGAAAGCGCTGAAAGTCGAGTCAATACGTACCTCCACCTACGCCAGTCCGGTTAATACGGGGATCAACTATCAAATTTATGCCCCGCTACTGAGGACACCAGATGTCTGACGGACCAAGCACGAACACGAACGCATATGTCGGAATCGAACCTGGTTGGAGATCAGTCCTGCTGAAGATATGTACATGCAGTCGAGGAAAAAATCTGAGTATTTTGAAGTACCATGGTGGACATCGACGGATGGAATTTCCTCGAATCCTCCGGCGGAGTCCTCAGCCTTTTCTACTTATTTGGTCTCCATCGAGCGCTGATTCTTCGTGGGATGATGATAATTAATATTGATGGATCCAAAATGGGCTCAGAACCTTTTTGGGCCGAGGCGCCATTGACGCGCCAGTGGCTGTGCAATTCGACAATCACGCGCAAATTCCCTCTTCAGTTTAGACTATCATGTCCGCCGCCAACAACGCCATGAACAACGCCCTGGTCAAATTTATAAAGAAACCGCAGTACTCGCCAGGTCCCCTTCCATACTTGGACAAGACATATTGGAGATCGCTGAGGCAGAAAGCCGATCCCGCCCTCCGAAACGCGTATATAACTGAAGGAAGGGCTATAGTGGAATACGTCATATTTATCAAGATGGTGGATAGTGGGGAACTTCCAAATAATCCTCCAGGATATCTCAAGGTGAGATTCATGCGATGTCCTTATATTCCAACGCCTCTTGAATACCCGCCCAGGCTGTAACCTCGTCCATTACCTCTCACAAATCCGTTCATGCTTTCTTGGAGAATCTAAATCCGCTCATGGTCGAAGGCGTCGGGACGAAGGTAGCGGAGCCGTTCTTCGGCTTCGTGGGGGCGGAATGGAATCAGGCGAAGAAGAGCACGGACCATTCTGCACGCTGGCTGGCGGCCATCCTAGAGCCTCTCATCCGCGTTGCCGGAGACGCCTACGTCAAGTGAGTAAATATGTGGGATACGTCTGTAGTGAAGAGGCTGAAAGGAATCGTAGGGAGCCGCGGCGAAATGAAACCCGCTTGTCGGCTCAAGCTCAGGAATCAAATGATCGCGCCGATTCCAGTACGATATGTTACCTTTCTTCCTAGGGCAGGCTTTACCGTCCTCCTCCCAGATTTCATTCTGTTCGAAAATATGGAGTTAATTCAAGCTGCGGTCTACGAGTCAGACACCGAGCTCGCCGAGTCCGACTCCTCAACTACGTTTCCGTCTCGCCCCTCTCCGGTCCGTCCACCCCTCCGAGAGCCCTCACCCCCGGGTGTACTTAAGTCTTTCGTTACATGACACCTTCCAATCTCACATGCTCCATCAGATCGCACCTTTTGACGAGGACGGGAAGATTAGCCCTCTGGGAGCCACCTGGGCTCTACAGTTGGCGTCACACCGTGCCTCCCCCCGACGACCACTGCCAGATGACCCGAACCCTGTATGTGTCCGCTCATCCACCTGTTATGTTGGTTGCAGAAAAAGCTTACGTCGCCCACCTCTAGGACTTCCTCCTCTGGCACAACCTCCCGGGTTCGAGCGGGATTGAACTAGAATTGGGGATCGACGAGGTGAGTCCCTCGGCTCATCGTATGTAGGATATCCGAATTGACCGACGCGGAGGCAGGGGGCTTCGACGGGAATGCGAGCAGCGGTAGCGGGTTACTCCCCGCAGCGGCGGTATTTATCCTCCAAATCGCTTGGTTATATATTCTGACGAACATTTCCAGATCTCCGCCGGGGTATGTCTCTCAGTCCTTATTTAGGGCTTCTCTCAATTTTGCGTGTTTGTTTTAACAGACCCGATCGTTTGCAGCGTCTTTTTCACCGTCGGAGGTAAGGACTACCCAATTCTGCCACGAAACATTCTAACACCGATGACAAATAGGCCGGGCATGCGGGCATCAGGGTGCTTCATTTTTCGTTCCAACTTTTCTTGTATTTAAACCGAATTTTTCACAGAAACGCACAACATGGAGCACCCCGGAGGCGTTCGGCGACGACGATGGACCGAGCCCGAGCCGGCCTACGTCCAAGGTGCTTTTCTTCCTTGGCAACAATGCTTTTTATTCTAACGACTTTTTCGCAGAGAGGTAAATGGAGCTCCAAGACAAGCCCGCCGACTGTTAGTGGATCCTCGGTAGCTAGTTTGACAGTATCCGTGTCACAATGCCTGACCATGGTTCATTTTCAGCATCTTTCGCGGCACCCCCTCATGCCCCTCAACGTCGGGTCGATACTGGTCCCGCCTAGTAATGGTGATGCTTCTTAAAGTAACAATATTTCAACTGTTCGTTACAAAACTGGTGTACTGAATTAGATCCTTCAGATTTAATTTCTCATTCATTTTTATGTATCTGTTTGTAGCGAGAAACGAAATGTATTTCCATAGTAGAATACGCTGGGAATCAATCATTGGTACGGATTCATGGTGTGAACAGATCACATTGCCTATGTAGCGTTACGGAGAGGGGCATACACTTTGCTGCCTTAGTTTTCACACAAACGACTAGCTGCTAGGAATGGGAGTGGATTCCGCCTCGCAACCTCACAAAGTGTGGATACAGTACGAGCGAGACAATTCAACTTTTCCAACTCGTCCCTTTGACCTCACGTCGGCCGAGCTGTCCCCGGAGCCTTCCCACGGTTCACTTTTTCGTTCAATTCGGATTCTGGGAGACTTTGTGTTCCTTACCTTCAATTCAAGTCTTACAACGATAAATGATTTCCTTGCCACCGCGTCCACAAGAAATTATACATCCGCCGTAAGAAAAAAAAGATGAGCCCTCACATTGTCCCGCACCGCGGGGAAATCCGCATCCTGCAGGTTCGTCAAACGCGTGCTGAAATCATCGGCGCACGCTTCCTTTGCGCCATCTGCGACGCCGTCGACATATGCGCCAACTGTGAGTCGGCGGGTCTCCCAGGCAATCTGGACTCTGCTGAAAGCGGCCACAAGCATCAGGAAAACCCTCCTTTTAGAATCTGGCCAAATTGTGTCAATTTGGCACAACCGTGTTAAGCGAAGTTAAGCGGTATAAGCGACAAAAATCTGTCAAAATAATGATCAAGTTTTGCCAAATCTCACAAGCCGGTCAACAACTGTTTCCAGGTATTAAATACGGTTTATATATGGCCTCCACACATATCAATTTGACGGATCTCTCTAGAGGTGTGGCAAGTTATAAAAAAACATGGTCCGGGACGTGAAACTGTCACCTTGACTCATCTGGAAAATAGCAGATGTCTTAGGACGTCTCAAGGAGACACGAGAGACCACAGAGAGCCAGAGACTTCCCTCTGTCTTTGCGAGACCATGGGAGGCCGATAGATGGATAGAGCCAGAGACAGTCAGAGACACAGAGACCGATAGACCGATCACCATCACCCATTGCCGAGTGAATTGATGGGAGGCACGGCATCAAATATCTTATATATGTGGAACAAGATGGCATTGAGAGTAGTATCTAGTACTTTTCCGTCACCGCAAATGCAGATCACTCGAAAATACGACCAAGTCGTCTCCCTATTCTACCATACTATTGTTAAGAGCGGCGGGGACCACGTTCTTTCAACCCCGCCTGACGGCATCAAATATCTTGTTTTCTTGAAATAGTTCTGAGTTTGTACAAAGAAAAAAGAGCTTCCAGTCCCTCCATGTAATGTTATTCCTACTTTCGAATGAGTACTGTGAGATTGCTGGTCATAAGAGTTGCTATGGAAAATATATCAGGATCACAGTGCATTGAGAGAAGACAAGAGAAATACATACAGCACTGAGCACTCAGGCTGCAGAGGAGAAAATTACGGGTTAAGATTCAATGAGAAATGGGGGTTGCAGGAAAGAAGGGATCTGAAATCACAGGCCTTTTATAAGCATCCCAATACTTGGCCATGGCTCAGCAATGGACTTGTTGCATTTTTCTAGATTCTAAGTCCTGTTATTCTGCCAGTGGGCAACTCAAGATCTTGACATTGCGACAAGACGATGCCAGATGGGGAGAAATAAAGCTTCCAATTTGATGCATCATGAAATAGGCGACAAATACGCGAGAGCATTTTTAGGCGATGTCTCTCGATGTCTCTGGGTTTAACTGCGTCTCTGGGAGAAACAGGCGGTCTCTGTAGACATGGCATGTCTCTGAAACTAAAATGGGTTTCCAGATGCTGTGAATTGATCTAGACCCCAGGAACTAGAGGGTTAGTGTTATCTCGTGGACAATTGGTTGAGAATTCAGTAGCAAGTGTTTATATGTAGCGAGAGAGGGCGAGAGATATCATCTTGGCAGTCCCTTCAAGTTATATATATTTATGCAGCAATGCTGCGACTCGTACATCAGGCAACTGTTAGGCGAGGCGGGCCCTAATGTGTCAAGCGTGTGAGTCCGACAAGGTCCGACAGCAATTTAAGCCCGAAGGCAACGGTTGCCGTGCACGTGCATGCAAAACATGGTTTGTTTTGATCTGGTCACAACAATTGCACACACTTCTTTCTTCCTTTCCCCCATCTCCTCTCTCTTCGTCCCACCCTTCTACCTCACTGCTGTCTGCCATCCCTGTCTGCACTAGCTCTAGGCCATGTTTAGATTGTCTATACTCCTTTCTGCAGCCCTTCCTGGTGCGTATCACGCTCTACTCATTTCATTTCATCTTCTCATCACTCCTTCAAGCACACATAGGACAAGGCGGGCCTTCTCCTTCTTCTTTTCTGACTGGGGACACATGCTTCTGAGGCCCTGTCGTTGATTTCCGGGTGTGTCGTCGTCTTTCGCTACCCTTCCTCCCCGCCCTTCCTCCCCTGCACAGTCCCGAAGCGGTAAATCCTTCCGCTTGTGTTTGCTCCGTGAATGTGTTGTCTTGAATGCTATTTCTGTATGGGTATGTGTCATTTTCTCTCATGCTTCCTTTACTGATGTATTTATATGTTCCCCATGCTATCCTGTGCCGATTTGCCGATATGAGCGGGCACCACTGCACCACGCGACGCCC